AGTTAACCAAATATTGATACTTCTGGTGGTTAATGTACTATAAACTGTTTTATTAAGTTAACCAAATATTGATACTTCTGGTGGTTAATGTACAAGGAACTGTTTTATTAAGTTAACCAAATATTGATACTTCTGGTGGTTAATGTACTAGGAACTGTTTTATTAGGTTAACCGAATATTGATACTTCTGGTGGTGAATGTACTAGGAATTGTTTTATTAAGTTAACCGAATATTGATACTTCTGGTGGTTAATGTACAAGTAACTGTTTTATTAAGTTAACCAAAAACATAATTAAAGATTATCTATTAATATTGGGTTTTTTAAGTAAAACATATCTCCCTCACTTAACCCTTCAAAAACTAAGTTTCCTTTGTCTGAAATTCATTGAACAAAACCATATATATATATATATATATCAACTGTCTTGAAACTTACTGGATTTTTCCCTATTACCTGTTTCAGCCAGTTAAGGTCACAGCACACCACTCATATGAAGTCAGAAAAGACATTCACAAGTCAAAGAATATTTTGTAAGTGATCCTGTAAAACTAAACTGATCTTTTGGGTGGTCAACATGTCCAAGAAGATGGTGTGCTCTGTTAGTTTGGTCTCTTTCAAAGATTACTTAATCAGTTTGTGGATACTATTTTTAGCTTCAAAAAACCAATTTTCTTGTGCTCTGAACTAACTTCAAACTGAATAAAATGAGATAAAACACCTAAAGTTACAAGAACAACAAAACTGCCTACTTCAGATTTCCTGTTTTGGATGATGGATTGAAGCACTCGTCTCTGGACAAAATCCTATGCGAGAACAGATTTCCTCCTGGATCAATTAGCTGGGCTATCATGTGTGCATATGCACGGGCTCCAAAAGTACAGATGTGGAGTTCATAAATTGATGACATCTTTTTTAGAAAGCCTCTGGTGCCTGGTCTTAAACGGGTATGGTACCACGGAGACCGTGGCCCATAGAGTTGGAAGTGGTACACGTCCTGTGAATGGAGATATTTGTATTAATGAACATCAAGAGTCGGGTGAAACCCACACTTATTCTCTTTAAGCCATCTGTAATATCAATAAATGAACCTACAGTACACAAAAGCTTATACTAAAATAACATACTAAATATTTTTATATCATTATAACATTTCAACCACTGAGTCTACTTAGCAATGAGCTAATGTCCTACAACTGCCACCAATATTACATCATCGTCTAGAACTTTTGTAAAAGACTGAATACTGACATTGTTCACCTGTTTTTAAAACCTTATAATAAAAAAACAACATAATATCAAAATGTGTGAAATACCTCATTTAATAAGTAGCTCTGACGATACACATAAACATTTTTATTAACTTACATTTCATCTGCTATCTTTTTAAAAACCTCTCCAAACTGTAATAAAAGTTCCTAACTAAATGTGTTGCTTTTGAAGCCAAATTGGCAACAACCAACTGCTGTTTCACTCATAAAACTGATGTTTTACTTCAATACCAGATCTCAAGGTACTAAAAATAACATATTGCAGACAATATTAACTATTTTACATCACATATCATTGAAACAGGATAAATAAAATCAATTCTAATCCATATGTTTTAATTTTTCTCACAAGTTTTTACCTTCAAATTGTTTGGTATATTATCATTTGTTGTGTGAATTAATGTTTGGTCCAAGTCTACCAAAAGTGCCAGCTTTCTTGACTTAAGATATCTGTCTTCATCAGCTTGACCTAACTTCTGTGCTTGCTACAAATAAAGCACAAAACATTGGATTTGGAAACAAGTATGCTACTGAGACTGCTTAAAGTCATGAAAATGAAAAAAAATTTGTATGAGGTTATAAAATTCAATTATTCTACATAATGTTAAAAAAATATTCGCTAAATATCATTTTCCACTGACAATTTTCAAACAAAAAATTAATAATCATACTTTTAAATATCTGATTTTAAACTTTAAAGGACAAAAAGTTGTAAGTAATCAGGAAGGTCCTTAAAAACAAAAATTAATATCAGTTCCACGTTACTTTTATACATTATCCGTACTTTATATTAATATATTATAGTAATCTCATGCATCAAATTAAAACCTTTCGTTTCTTTTACTATAGTGTTTGTTATTTAAAGTTTCCAAAATTATCTAACCCTATTTTTTCTGATCAAATCATCTAATCATTGCTTTGTGCTATTAACATAAGAAATGTTTACAATAACCTTATCACATCAAAATCTAAACTTTAAAGCAATCTAGAAAGAACTGTTCTTCCTTCTCTCTTCCCACCTTCATATTCATAGTGAGTTAGTGCTAACAGATTGAAACTCAAAACACATGTAGAATATGTATACACACACAAGGAGTAATAACAATATCACAATATAAAACTTATCATTTTATACTTCCAAATTTTCAACTCTATCTTCCACTTAAAAGGTTTTCAACCTGTTGTGAAAACAGGATTGGCTTTAATCCTTAGAGTTTTGTACGATAAAACCCCCAAATTTGTAAGTATAACGTACCTCGTGGTTTACTCTCAGTTCAGGAACAGTGTGAACCATGCTCACTGAGGTAGAGGCTACGACCTGTGCTAAACTGTCTCTACTTAATCTGGAAAAAAAAATTAATTATAACAATCAGAAACCAAACACTTTTGTAACTGTGTAAGAAATGTATACCAGAATCACACTAACACAAAAATATGTATTCTTCTAACAACTTGTAAATTGGTAAATGAAATACTTCAAACAGTTAAAATTTGGCATAGTTTCCACTAGTTTTACTATTGTACTGTTTTCAGGCTGTTTTCCCAAAATCTTTAAACATACATTTCAAGAAAAAGATAGATTTTTTTTTTATTAACATCCTAAAAATTAGCGTGAGATAAAGAAGAGAGATTCTGCTGTCCTATTTTTCATGCATTTACACAATAGGCTTAATCTTCTTTAAATATTCACTTTTCATTACAGCTTGTTAGGTAAGATATCAAATAAAACTTGAAAGTGACAGAAAACTCTAGTTTCATCTACAACTGTCTTGAATTTGGAAAAAACAATCAAAACATGGTCATAACATAAACAGAACTCTTAGTAAAGTTTTATGGCATTTACAAATAATTGTTATGACACAATAAATATATATATAACACACCAGTGATCTCTGTAACACAAAACTGTTATGTAACACTCACTGCCTCAAGTCAGTTCCACATTCTGCACATAGGTCTTTGATGATCGTAGCATGGGAACAATCCTGGTACCTGAGGACTGTGCATCTAAATATTGTAAAAAACAACATAATATATATATATATATAACAGAAATATTCTTGTTCCATGGGCCTAAAGTCAGTGCAACTAAATATTGCTACACTTAAAACAGGAAAAATCTTGGCAACAAGGCGTATAAACCAAAATACTGTTAAAATTAAAACAAATAAAAAATATTGTAGTATTGTGAACAGCCTACTTTGTTACTATAATTGTCTATTCATATAAATTAATGAAACAAGTTATGGCACTTTTTTTTTCACAGTTTCATTCCTTATAACATCAGTAAATAAAACTAATGAAACAGAGAAATACAAATATGTTTAAATCTGACAAAATAAAATTTTTAAATGTCAAAAACAGAAAATGAATGAATACTCTTTTTTTAGTAAAAAGTAAAACAAATTAATTAAATCTTGTTTGAAAAGTGTAGCATGGCCTCCTACAAAGTTTCTCAGGTTGAACAAAACAATCTGTATTTTTATGTATGTTTCATTTCACTCAATTCAATAAATAATATATTTACATACCTTCTAATGTCTTTCAGGTTGAACAAAAATATTAATCTGTAACTTCTTTTTCTATATTTCATTTCACTCAGTTCAATAAATATCACCTGTATGTATCTGATGAAATGTTTATTCCTATTTCCTCCTGATTTTCATTTCCATTAATGAAATTAACTTCCAGTTTATTTATTTAATTTTTAAAGCACAGAAAATAAGTAAAACTCGTACTACTTGATCTTAAAACTGAAAGCAACACAATCTATATACATTCAAAATTAAATACCCACTGAATTATGTCGTTCTTAAAAATGTAAATATTAATTTATATGGGAAAATAGTTACATTTTTCCCTTACTCTAAAGAAAAATACTTCTACTAAAATGCACAAATATTTCACAAAACATCTTCAAACGTTGGTACTAGTTTCACGATAACAACTTTCTTGAATTAAAAATAAAACTTAAAAGCGCACAAATTTTCCGGTAAAGTAGAACGCATGAGCAATAATACAAAATTATGACGTCACTTACCCCGGATATAGCTTGCTACCTTCACCAACAGTTAGGGATACCGCAGTCCCTTCAACAGAACATTTGAATTTTTCTTCTGAAGTGGCTTCTTCTTTCAGTTCATTATCAGTCGAAAACAAGAAAAGTACTCTTCCCTGAGTTAGTCGACTTCCTGGTTGAATTTTCCAATGGCGTAAAATTGCTGATTTTTGCCAAGTGAATGTTAGCTCCTTACCCACAGAAACCATTTTCCTAGAGGGCGCTTTATAGTTTTAAAGAGGACGCTAAAGTATGACAAAAATTTAAGTTTAGAGAAAATATATTTATTTTATATTAAATTCATCAATATTAACATAAATATTCAAGATGTTAAATTAATATATTTTTCCTTTGATTGCATATTTACTGTATCAATAAAAACGTATTACTTCGGACACAATATTAAAAATATATTATTACATTTTATATCTTTTTCTTCTTTCCAAAATAAGTTAACTTGTACTGATGAACAGTTCACTCTAAGCAAAAAGATTAAAATATTTTTATCATCGTTCTTCCACAAAGAAGAAGCTTGACACCACAACAAGAAATATACGTCAAAGATCAGGTATTTTAACTCAAAAACGTTCTCTGATTTAAATGAAAAGAATATTCATAGCAGTGTAGTCCATGTTAACGTACAGACCATAATGAATCGTGTAGTCTTAAGTCACTATTTTATAATTAAAAGTAAAACAACAATAAATCGGGCTTAATATACTTATCTTTATTACGTGTTTTTTGAGGCACATGAATAAGGGTAAGATATGGTGTGTAATATTTTCCGCTGGTACAATTGTCCTTTAAATTTGTATATTCTATTTCACTTTAGTTGTCCGTCTGAAATCACAACGCTAAAACCAGGGTTCGATTCTTTTCGGTGAACAGAGCGTAAATAGCTCATTGTATAACTTTGCGTTAAAACACCACCAACCGTCTCAGTATTGTTTATCTTTTAAATTGTGCTTTATTCAATCGACTTTGATGGTGTGGTTTCATTATTTTTACTTAGGAAAATGGACCATATGTTTCAGTGCGATTAATACATAAGCGTGGTATACAGTTTTTTTCCCCGTTAACTTTTTAATTACTTCCAATGATTTTCGTAAAATTAGATTTTCATATTTTCGGTTTAATTTTAATAATCGTTCAAAATAAATCAACACAATATTCAAATAAATAGAATTATTAACTTACTTGTTAGGATGCTAATTAGTTTATTTTCGGTGGATACAGCAGATAGCTCGATGTGGCGTTGTTACAAGAAAACATAAACACACTTAGCAGTGGAAGACTAGAGGGAAAGCAACTAGTCATCACCACCCACCGCCAACTCTTAGGCTACTCTTTTACCAACGAATAGTCGGATTGACCGTCACGGCTGAAAGGGCGATTTGATATGACGGGGATTCGAACCCGTAGATTGCGAGTCGAGCGCCTTGACCACTTGGCTATGCCGGGCCCATATTCCTATATAATAAAAAAGTCTTAGAAATAAGCATAAATGATTCCTAAAATTATGAAAAATGCACCTTTCTTAGTGTGAAATCTTCATTTCAGAAAGTTTTCAATGCGTTTTAATTGGTATATTTTGGTAACTACAGGAACATGGGAATATGTATGGTACTTAAGAACACGAGGGGGGGTCGGATTTACATTGTTGGCAGAGGCAGCGCTAGGCGCTTGAAAGATTCGACGCTCGGGCCCATAGGCGAGGAAATTTTCGGAGTTTCAGTATGATATCGATCATGGTTTTCTATTATGATTTTTTAAGACACCAACTGGGGATTCGGGGCACTGTCGAATAGAATTGTGTCACGGGCCCCATGTGCCAGCGATTAGCGACGGCTCTGATTGAAGGCATTGGCAAGTTTTAAAGCTCGGATATTAATCCGTGGCGGTAATCCACACTAAAATGTAGACATCTGAAATATCTATCTTTGTTTTTTATTATTTACTAATGTACAGTAAATCGATTTTATTACTAGGCAGTCTATAAATATTTGATTGAATTATCAAACACACTTAAAAACATAACATTCAGTTAATTTTGTACAACAAACTTCTGCTTCTGTGATCTATATTAATAATTTGGATCACTCCCTTTGGTGAGTATAACTTGCCATATTTCCTACCAGTTATTAGAAGAATTGAATATAAACCAGGGCTTTTATTCATTTCTATCAAGACTTCTTGAACCTACGTGTTTTTCTAACATCATGAAAGTTATTAGCAGAATGAGCCGGAAATATTTAATTTATTCTGTGAATCGAGCGTTGTCTAGTGGTTGATGGATTCTAACTGAAAATCCGAGGGTTCACTATTTACCGTTCGTTGCTGGACTTTTGGGCACTCTATAAGAGTAACGTTCAAACCCTTCTATTCGGTTATACAAGAGTTGGTGGTGGATGGTGTTGATTATCTGCTTTCCCCTTTGTATTATCACTTTAAAATTAGCGATGGATAACGCAGATAGCCCTCGAGTAGTTTTGCGCGGATGTTCTGAAACATACAGACTTTTTATACTAATGACAACACGAATGAAATATCTGGTGAAATCAACATGTTTTAATCTTGTCAGAAATTGGCTATTTCACGTGTCAATTTTATAAGCCTATCTTAGATTCACCAACATCTTGTCTCGATGAAACAAGGCTTAGCTATTGTGTTTTTCATTATACTTTAGTTATAATGTTATTAATTGAATTTTTACGAAGTAAAATACATTATTGAAAAGTTTGACGCGCAATATTCCTAAAAAAAAAAAAGGTGTTTATTTTTGTGAAAAAAAAAGACAACTAATAATTTTCAGATCATTAATCTCGAATATAGAATAAAGGGAAAAAAATTAAAGTTCACTGGACAACTTCCAGGTTAGTTCGATTTTTGTTTGTTTGTTTTTTTTGGAATTATGCACAAAGCTGCACAATGGGCTATCTGTGCTCTACCCACCACGGGTATCGAAACCCGGTTTCTAGCGTTGTAAGTCCGCAGACATGCCGCTGTGCCACTAGGGGGCGGTTAGTTCGAACTAATCCCCGTGCTTTTGTTGTAGTAAATATAATATTTGAGTTCTCGATAATACACAGTGTACTGTTATTGGACCACTCTAATGTTAGCATTTCGTTGATCTTGTAACATTCAGTCAGTTTAAACATTTGATTTCAGTGTTTTATTTACACTAATAATATTATAGCGCCATAATTATTAAAGTTTTCTGATGACTCTTGGGTATTGATAGCGAAATTGAGTAGTAACAGAATGACTCGGATTAACTGATGTTTGGAAAATGGCCTTTAATTATAGCAAGTACAGGGCAATACATTTGGGATACAATAATGGGACCAACGTTTCATATAGATGGGAACCCAATGAAAAGTATAAAAGGACCTTAGTATAGTGGTAAATAAGTCACTCAAATCATCAAGGTGTTATGTTGTTATTCATACAACTAATAGAAGTTTAGGGTGTATTTAGATATAAACTAATTACAAGTCAAACCGAAGCAATTATCTTTCTAAAAGTCTATACAATCACTAATTAGGTTTCACTTGGAATACTGTGTACAGTTCTGGTCTTCTTATTTCAAAAAAAACATATTCACTTGTTGAAAAAGGTTCAAAGATTACTAGGATTTCCAGAGATGGGGGAATTATTTTTTGGGAAAAGGTTAACATCTCTTTTTCTTTTCTTGAGAAAAGAAGGATAAGATGTGACGATCGATATGATAACAGAATCCGGTTTCTTTTTCCCTGTATTTTGAAGACAATATGGAGACAGTTTGAGTGAGTGCTGTTGACTACCTGCATTCCCTCTAGTTCAGTTCAAAATTAGGGACGGCTAGTATAGAAAATCCTTATGTAGCTTTGTGCGAATATTTGAAGCAAACAAATAGATGACAAGACACAAGTTTGGGGTTTAGAAAAGAGACAGGGTAGGTTCAATTTAAGGAAGTTCTTGTTGTCCATCTGCTAAATACATCCCGTAAAATTACTAAGAGTTTAAACCTTGTCATCTCTAAGACTAGTTTTTACTTGTAATAATGATATACACGATGACTAACGTATCTTTATTTATCTTATTTCCTGTCAGCTAACGTTCTTTCACGTCCTGCAATCATTTCCTGTACAGTAGCTGATTCATTATTTTCTGGGTCAGTTTTATAATCACTGATTTTGTTTAGTACGAAAAGAATAACACAGACCTGCGATGGTTTTATTGTTAACATAGGCTTGCGATGGTTTTATTGTTAACATAGGCT